ATACATACATACATACATACATACATACATACATACATACATACATACATACATACATACATACATACATACATACATACATACATACATACATACATACATACATACATACATACATACATACATACATACATACATACATACATACATACATACATACATACATACATACATACATACATACATACATACATACATACATACATACAGACATACAGACATACAGACATACAGACATACAGACAGACAGACAGACATACAGACATACAGACATACAGACAGACATACATACATACATACATACATACATCCATCCATCATACATACATACGTACTACCTCCCAGAAAGACGTCAAGGCATTCAGAATGTTTGAAGAAAACCTACCAGCACATGCTCGCTTTAAAGCTCCATAAGTCTGGATGAAATTGGTAGACACAGAAATAGACAGTCCGACCCAATCACCCGTGTGACCCCAAAGAATGGATACGTGTTTATCCTGATTTATCTGCATTCAAGTTACCCTAAGATAATTATGGATGCTAATTCAACATTAGAATAGGGATGCAATGGATTCCAGGCCACTCCGGCACACCAGGTAATGACAGAGCTGACAGACTGGCAAAGCAAGGAGCAACACAAGAACAACCACCCACAGCGACAACCCACAGACAGTAAAAGCACGTTTAAAAGCAAAAACAAGGAAGCTTGATTAAGCAGATGGGCCATTGCAGATACTGGAAGAGATGTTTGCAGATATTTGTCTGACCTTGATCCTAACGACAGCCTGAACCATTTAACAAGGCGGGACCAAGCCACCATCTGCAGACTCACAACACAACATATTCCATTCAATGGGCATCTTAACAGAATACAACCACAACACTTCCCAGAGTGACAGCTATGTAACTATCCCTATGAAACTGTTAACCATCATCTCTCTAAGTGTCCAAAACACAGTGAGACTAGAAGAACGCTACTCCCTCTCACTGAGACCAGACAAGTGGAACATCTTGTACGGTTGGGTGGGGTTGGGGGGGGGGGTGCAGCTTGTGAAAACATGTAAATTTCACTACAGTTCAAGGGGTCAAAAGGTGAAAGCATATGCGCCACTGGATCGATAACAACAATAAATACTCCGTGTATAAGTCGAACTCCAGTTCTGAGCTTAAAAACGTTACGGTCTTTTACTTGAAACAATACGATATTTGTGAGTGTAGAAACTGCGCCACTGTTGCCGTCCATACAGGTATGCTCAAGGCTCGGTGAAGGCAACTTTGTTGCCGTCCATACAGGTATGCTCCAGGCTCGGTGATAGCAACTTTGTTGCCGTCCATACAGGTATGCTCCAGGCTCGGTGATAGCAACTTTGTTGCCGTCCATTCAGGTATGCTCAAGGCTCCGTGATAGCATCTTTGTTGCCGTCCATACAGGTGTGCTCCAGGCTCGGTGATAGCAACTTTGTTGCCGTCCATACAGGTATGCTCAAGGCTCGGTGATAGCATCTTTGTTGCCGTCCACACAGGTATGCTCCAGGCTCGGTGATAGCATCTTTGTTGCCGTCCATACAGGTATGCTCAAGGCTCGGTGATAGCATCTTTTGCGACGTTGGTCGTGATCTGGGTGACCCGAGACCTGGGCGAGTACGGAGGCTGCATTGAAGCACTGCATGGTTTCGCAAGCCTACAAGTATTTTATTTTCATTGATTACCACTTAGAAAACCACGACAATGGAATAAATATCAATAGATACAATAAAGAAAAGGAACATTGAAAGCCACACAGAAATAGTATTCTTATCTGCTGTGCAATGTTGTTTCTGTATGTGTGTTGTGTCTGTTGAGTGTTGTGTTTGTGTGTGTGTGTTTATTTGTGTTCATGTTGTGTGCATATCTTGTGTCTGTGAGTGTGTGTTTACTTGTGTGCATGTCTTGTGTTTGTGAATGTGTGTTTACCGGTGTGTATGTGAAATGTTCGTGTGTAAGTTCTGTATCTGTGAGTAAGTTTTGTGTCTGAGTGAGTAAGTGTGTGTGTATGTGTGTGTGTGTGTCTGTAAGTTGTGATGTGAGTAATGTGTCTCTAAGTGTTGTGTTAGGTGTCTGAGTGTTGTGTCTGTGTGCTGTTTCTGTGTGTGTATAGTGTGTTTGTGTGAGTGTTGTGCCGTTTGAGTGTTGTGTCTATGAGTTCGTGTTGAATGACTGAGTGTTGTGTCTGTGTGAGCTGCACCCGTGTGAATGTTGTGTTATGTGTGTGAGTGTTGTGTCTGTGTGAGTGTTGTATTAGGTGTGTGACTGTTGTGTCTGTCTGAGTGTTGGGACTGTGTGACTGTTGTATGAGTGATGTGAGTGCTGTATCTGTGTTGTACGTTGTGCCTGTGTGACTGTTGTATGAGTGATATGAGTGCTGTATCTGTGTTTGTATGTTGTGACTGTGTGACTGTTGTATGAGTGATATGAGTGCTGTATCTGTGTTTGTACGTCGTGCCTGTGTGACTGTTGTATGAGTGATATGAGTGCTGTATCTGTGTTTGTATGTTGTGACTGTGTGACAGTTGTATGAGTGATATGAGTGCTGTGTCTGTGTTTGTACGTCGTGCCTGTGTGACTGTTGTATGAGTGCAGTATCTGTGTTTGTACGTCGTGACTGTGTGACTGTTGTATGAGTGCTGTATCTGTGTTTGTAAGGCGTGACTGTGTGACTGTTGTATGAGTGATATGAGTGCTGTATCTGTGTTTGTACGTCGTGACTGTGTGACTGCTGTATGAGTGATATGAGTGCTGTATCGGTGTTTGTACGTTGTGCCAGTGTGGGTCTTGGGTTAAATATTTAAGTCTGTGTCTGTGTGAGTGTTGTTTGAGGTTTCTTCTTCTTCTTCTTCAGGTTCACCAGCTGTTAACTCTGGCGGAAAGTTCTATCTTTGTTTGTTTACTTCTGGACTGCAGCCCTGTTCCAGAACCTGAGTGTTGCGTGTGCATCCGTTTGACAGATCTGACAAATTTGTATACAGACTGTCTGTTCATTGCTTCACAGGCAGATGCACTACGACTTCGAAGGAAGCTCACAATAAGTCGACTCTTACGACATGCTTTTTGGGTAGGCAGTGGGTCAATTCTTGTTTTCCCTATAATAGAGCCCTGGGACCCACACAGGGGAACTGTGTGAGGTGTGTAAGTGTTGTGTCTGTGTGAGTGTTGTTTGAGGTGTGTAAGTGTTGTGTCTGTGTGAGTGTTGTGTTAGGTGTATGAGTGTTGTATCTGGGTGAGTGTTGTGTTAGGTGTGTAAGTGTTGTGTATGTGTGGGTGTTGTGTTAGGTGTGAAAGTGTTGTGTTAGCTGTGAAAGTGTTGTGTCTGTGTGGATACATTGTGTCTGGAGTGTGTGTTCTAGTGTATATTGCTTGTGTTCTTTTTTGTGTCTGTTCACAGACAGACAAAAAAAATCGAAAGAAGAAAGAAAGAAAGAAAGAAAGCCAACAAGAAAAGAAAGAAAGAAAGAAAGAAAGAAAGGAAAGAAAAGAAAGAAAAGAAAGAAAAAAGAACGAAAAAGAAAGAAAAGAAAGAAAGGAAAGAAAGAAAGTAAAGAGGAAAGAAAGAAAGAAAAAAGAGAAGAAAGAAAAGAAAGAAAAAAGAAAGAAAAGAAAGAAAGAAAGAAAGAAAGAAAGAAAGAAAGAAAAAAGAAAAGAAAAAAGAAAGAAAGAAAGAAAGAAAGAAAGAAAAAGAAAGAAAGAAAAAAGAAAGAAAGAAAGGAAGAAAATCAAGAAAGAAAGAAAGAAAGAAAGAAAAAGGAAAGAAAGAAAGAGAAACGAAAGAAAGCAGAGAAAGAGAAAGAAAGAGAAAAGAAGAAAAGAAAGAAAGAAAGAAAGAAAGAAAGAAAGAAAGAAAGAAGAAAGAAAGAAAGAAAGAAAGACAGACAGAAAGAAAGAAAGACAGACATAAAGAAATAAGTAAAAAAGAAAAGACAGAAAGAAAGAAAGTATTGTATCTGTGGGTTGTGTCTGTTTGTTGTGTCTGTGAGTTGTGTCTGTGAGTGTTGCTTCTGTGTGAATCTTGTTTCTGTGAATGTTGTGTCTGTGTGAGTATTGTGTCTGTGGGTTGTGTCTGTGCGTTGTTTCTGTGGGAGTTTTTGTTGTGTCTGCGTTAATGTTGTATCTGTGAGTGTTGCTTCTGTGTGAATGTATCTGTGAATGTTGTGTCTGTGTGAATGTTGTGTCTGTTTGAATGTTGTGTCTGTGTAAATATTGTGTCTGTGTGAATGTTGTGTCTGTGTGAATGTTGTGTCTGTGTGAATGTTGTGTCTGTGTGACTGTTGTGTCTGTGTGAATGTTGTGTCTGTGTAAATATTGTGTCTGTGTGAATGTTGTGAATGTTTGAATGTTGTGCCTGTGAGTGTTGCTTCTGTGTGAATGTTGTGTCTGTGTGAATGTTGTGTCTGTGTAAATATTGTGTCTGTGTGAATGTTGTGTCTGTGTAAATATTGTGTCTGTGTGAATGTTGTGTCTGTGTAAATATTGTGTCTGTGTGAATGTTGTGTCTGTGTAAATATTGTGTCTGTGTGAATGTTGTGTCTGTGTAAATATTGTGTCTGTGTGAATGTTGTGTCTGTGTAAATATTGTGTCTGTGTGAATGTTGTGTCTGTTTGAATGTTGTGTCTGTGAGTGTTGCTTCTGTGTGAATGTTGTTCTGTGCGAAAGTTGTGTATGCGAGTATGGTGTGTGTGTGTCTGTGTCTGCAAGTGTTCTGTCTGTCAGCATTGCGTCTGTGTTGCTGTAAAGGGCTGAGAGGGGGGGGGGGGGAGGTGGTTGTGTCTGTATCACAGTTTGTCGCATGTATGTTACTAGAGCCCTAACAGAAAGCAAAGAATATGAACCATATACAGTACAATACATGTTATTCTTCTGCTGTCGTCCTTAAAAAAGCCCTTGGCAAACTGAATTGTGGTTTACAGCTAGACTGCGAAATCTGCGTCTTTCTGCCAAACGCATCCAATTTCAGCAAATCTCTAATTGGTCACTTTTCACGACATATGTGTTTGTGTGTTAGTGGGAGGGAGAGGCGTGAGGAGAGAGGCGTGAGGGGAGAGGCGTGAGGGAAGAGACGTGAGGGTAGAGGCGTGAGGGGAGAGGCAATGAGTATATTCTCTTTTTTTTTTCTCCTGAGAATGGACCCTGAATCTAAAACTGATAGTCTGGTCTTCTATATTTTAACGTTGTCTGCTTGCAATCACAGGTTTGTCACGGACACCCCGCCAGCCATACTGTTTGGTGTTCTGATGTTTGTACTTCCGTCCTCTTTCCCAACATCGATTATGACCAGGTGTGACTCGAGGGGTAAGTCCGATATTCACAGGTCTGACACATCGTTTGGCTGTTGTCAAATATCTACTTTTTGTATTGTTTGTTACGTTTTACACTGATTATCAGCCTTATGTTCTTGCGAAACAGCGACGGAAAGAGACTGAAGGCATGGGCGGGGGGGGGGGGGGGGGGGAAATAGAAAGACAAACAGAAGACAGACAGACCAGACAGAGAGACAGAAAGACAGACAGACAGACAGACAGACAGACAGACAGACAGACAGACAGACAGACAGACAGACAGACAGACAGACAGACAGACAGACAGACAGACAGACAGACAGACAGACAGACAGACAGGATTGAAGGATGAATTGAAACTGAAAAAAAAAGAGAGAATTGCGAAATCAGGCGTTATTCTCACCTGCATGTTACTACCAAACAAACGAATGCTTTGAAAATCTCTTATTATTTCGCGGGCGTTGTGTAATAAGCTAGTAAGACTGTGTAGTCTCTGAAAGAAAGAAAGACAGAAAAGCAAGACCAAAGACAGCAAGAAATAAGCCGCCGAAGAAAGAAAGAAGAAAGACGAAGAAAGAAAGAAAGAAAAGAAAAAAGAAAGAAAGAAAGAAAGAGCAGCAGACGCAAGACACTAAAGAAAGAAAGAAAGAACGAAGAAAGAAAGAAAACAGAAAGAAAGGAAAGAAAGAAAGAAAGAAAGAAAAAAAGAAGAAAGAAAGAAAGAAAGAAAGATAAGACTAAGAAAGAAAGAAAGAAGAAGAAAGAGAAAGAAAGACGGCCCGCAAGGACCTTTCAAGAAAGAAAAAGAAAGAAAGAAAAGAAAGAAAGCTCCAAAAGAAAGAAAGACCGCAACAAAGAAAAGAAAGAAAAAACAAAGAAAGAAAGGAAAAAAGAAAAAAAAAAGAAAGAAAAAAAAAGAAAGACAAGAAAGAAAGAAATAAAACCGAAAGAAAAGATGAAAGAAAGAAAGACCTAAAGAAAGCAAAAAAAAGAAAGATCCCGAAAGAAAGTAAGACTAAGAAAAAGAAAGAAAGAAAGAAAGAAAGAAAAAGAACAATGGATTGATGGATGGATTGATAATGTAAAATAAAAAGAGATTATTGCGAAATCAGGCCTTATTCTCACCTGCATGCTACTACCAAACAAACGAATGCTTTTAAAATCTCTTAATTATTCGCTGGTGTTGTGTAATAAGCTAGTAAGACTGTGTAGTCTCTAAATGAATAAATGGCTGAATAAATCAGTCAATCAATTAATCAATCAAGAATTGAAATTACTGCTTCTTTTTCTTCTTGGCTTTGACCGGCTGTCAGCTCCAACGGAAAGTCCTGGTTGATCGTTCAGTTACTTTAGTCTTGTTATGAAACTTTAGTACTGCATGTACATCCGTTTTATAGATCTGTGTTTTTTTTTTTTTTGTATGCAGACTGTTGGTTATTTTCATCTCTGGCAGATGTACTCTGACTTATACGGAAGCACCTAACAAGTCGATTCTTACGACATGCATGTTATGGAGGTGCTGGTCTATTCTTGCCCCCCCCCCCCCCAACTTCCCCAAAATAGACATTACTACACTCAGGACATTTTGACACGTGCTCATTCTCCTGCATCAGTAGCAACGAAGAGTCGACATGCGGATAGTGAAGGTTACAGCCAATGTTTTCTCATGATTTGATTTGATTGATTTGATTCCAAAACCGACATCACAGCACTCGGAGCATTCCCATAAGCACTCCGTCCCCATCTTCAGCAGCCAGTGAAGAGTTCCGATACTAATGGTGCCAGTAGCGTGTTTTCTCATGAGTGTTGAGTCAGCTCCTGAAGATTTCGTCTTTCAGGATTTGGATACACTTGTCTCTTCTGTTCTACTGTCCATTTGATCACAAAGAGCCGTCGTCACGTCCGCTTTATCATAAAGTAGGTCACAGTCCAGAGAAGCAGCAGCAGCCAATCTATCACTGTTTTCTTACCCTGCAAACCAGAATCTTCTCCAAAGAAATTGGTCGATATGTATAATCATTTTTACTTCTATTCAAATTACAATGACGTATTTTACTATTATGTCCACTACAAATGCGATTATTACTACTAATACTCATATTATTATTATTTTAGCTACTTCATTTTTTTTTTATTCGTTTTACTTAGTATTTTAATCTTCCTATATTTTAAAGTTTTTCTCGTGACCACAGCCCCGCGCAACACACCCCCCCCCCCCACCCGCCCCACTGTCCTCTTCTTCTCTGTGTGGGTACTGGTGGCCAAGATATTCTACCCTTTGTTCCCGTCGTGGTTTTTGTCAAAAAGGGGCTCCGGCCGAAACGTCTGATTTTCCTTGTTTGTTTACCTTGCTCCCCTCCCCGTCGACTTTTTCACAGTTCAATGAACAAATTTTTGATCAAGCGATGTTTCATCTCCTTGTTATTATAGACTGGCTCAGTCTGACGTCTTTGGGGATCAGTCTCCGATGTTACTAGCCTATTACTCTATTGTTATTGCCCATTGATCGGAGTTAGCAGCTAACGATCTACGTCCCTATCCACAGTCACCTACCAAAGGATCAGTCCCCTGCTAGAATGGTCGCACATCCACACAAAGATGCCGTGGTCCCTCTACCTGCTACTGGGAGGCGGTTACGCCCTTGCCGAAGCTGCCACGGTAATACAGTCACTTGATTATTTCATTGGTTGATGGTGTAGATATAGTGCGTTTCAAAACTCGTGCCGGCATACTTTTACAAATGTCTCGAAAACGCCTGTACGAATCAACAGGAATTTGTGAAAGTGGCCTTACATTTCTCATGTCCTTGTGATTCTATTGTTTACAATTGCACAGATTCTGTTGTTTTCCTGAGCCGCGAATTTCTTTGAACAGCCCCTGGCTGTTGTGTGGTTTTATAGGCAAGTTTACGTCCAGTAGTTTGCCATTGCTTCTGGACGGTCGGCCTTCTTGATACCACTGTCGAAACCAACGCAAGTCGCCAGACCCGAATCTGGGATCGAACCCGGCATCCCGGCATTTCGAAGCGTTCGCATCGACTTAGCCACAGAGCCGACCAAGTTACTGTAAGTGTGTAAATTGTTTGCCTTGAATAGACGTCTGTTTTTTCATATACCGTAAACATGGCAAAATAGAAAAATGAGATGTTTGTTTATATTATTTATAAATGATCACTAGGACATGATTATTACCAAGCTGCATGACAAAGTTCGGTGCTTTCCTAACATCCCATCCCAAACATGGGACATCCACAGGTCACGGGACAGTCTAATATTTCAGGGGTGGTAGATAAGCTGCATGCCGACCTGTGCGTTAAGACGACACTGTTCTGAAAAGGGAAAGGGAGGAGGGGGAGTTCGCCAGCTCTGAGACCTTCTGTCAGATCTTCTGTCAGATCTTCTGTCAGATGTTCTATCAGATGTTCTGTCAGATCTTCTGTCAGAGCTTCTGTCAGATCTTCTGTCAGATCTTCTGTCAGATCTTCTGTCAGATCTTCTGTCAGATCTTCTGTCAGATGTTCTATCAGATGTTCTGTCAGATCTTCTGTCAGAGCTTCTGTCAGATCTTCTGTCAGATCTTCTGTCAGATCTTCTGTCAGATCTTCTGTCAGATCTTCTGTCAGATCTTCTGTCAGATGTTCTATCAGATGTTCTATCAGATTTTCTGTCAGATTTTCTGTCAGAGCTTCTGTCAGATCTTCTGTCAGATCTTCTGTCAGATCTTCTGTCAGATGTTCTATCAGATGTTCTGTCAGATCTTCTGTCAGAGCTTCTGTCAGATCTTCTGTCAGATCTTCTGTCAGATCTTCTGTCAGATCTTCTGTCAGATGTTCTGTCAGATCTTCTGTCAGATGTTCTGTAATCGCCACTTTCACTTTTCATTGCCAGAGAACAATGCACTATTTTACTGCCTAGTCTTACAGTTTACTGCTTATTTCGAATACATCACTCACTTTATGTCTCGATTAGAGCGAGAGAGAAAAAAAGCTCCCTGCACGCCTACGAAAAAAATGCTAGCGCGTGAAAGCTGCCAGTTACTAGAAAACAGGATGCTAGCTGCGCCCGCATACTCTAAACAACAATGCGCAGGGGGAGAGGGGGGATTTTTCGCGATATTCTATTGTGTAATCAAGACATGCTAACGCTTAGATCTGCGAAATGATGACGCACAAATGATATATATATATATATATATATATATATATATATATATATATATATATATATATACATTATATATATATATATATATATATATATATATATATATATATATATATATATATATATATATATATATATATATATATATATATATATATATATATATATATATATATATATACTATGGCTAAATCGAATAGTGATTTTCACTATTCAGTCTAATACGAATACGAATAGTGTATCATAATTATCAGGTGTCTTGCCGCCTGGCGTGGGAGATTTTGCGTCGCCACAATCTGCGATCTCACAAAATCAACAAAAAAGAACGTATTGCCTTTAAATATAAGTGCTTACTTGACGAGGCTATCAGTTACTATTGTACAGATCAAATTTTCCACTTTAAAATTTCAGCCAAAATGTAATCACAACCTTACTTATCCGCTGCACCTTCACGAATACAGATGGAGGATCGGACGCACCTCGAGATAAATACTAAGATAATTTGTAGCATGCTGCGGTTTGCATTT